AGATGAGGAATCTTCCTTCTCAGAAGCCCAAGTAGCATCAGTGAAGCAAGCGAAAAAGATCTTGCCTTCTCCAAGCCTCTCCCCCTTCTCTTTCAGCACCTCAACCCCTTTCTGCTTCACCTGTGCAGATGCGGAGTATTGAACTCTAATGCTTGGGTGAGAGTTCAGATACTTCACCACACGTTCAGCTGCATCCACCTGCTCCTCTGATGGATTTTGCACCACCCTAGCCAGCTGCCCAACCAAGGAATGAAATTGCTGCTGCTCCTCGGGTTCAACCCCTTCATCCTCTGCAGCCTTCACAAGCTTGAATTCTGCTGGCAGGGGAGTTGCAACCTTGCGCTCATTCTCAATCCCATACTTCTCTCCAAGCTCCTTGATGAACTTCTCCTGGTGCAGCTTCAACCACCTGTGATCCAGATCCCTCTCCACGTGCATCCCGAGGTAGTATTTTACCTCCCCAAGGTTCTTGCACTTGAAGTTTTCCATCAGCTGCTGCTGCACTTTTTGGATCTCCTTCATGTTGGGTGCAAATTCATATTGCACGACATCCTGCCGTCTGTTTGTACGAGTATGCGTGTGTGAATGCATTTGGGTGTGAATGGAATGTTCGTGTGTTTGTTTGCTTTCGCAATTTTTGCTTGATGCATTTGCAGGTACTCGCGCAATGTGCGCTTTGGCACAACATTGTACGCGCTATGAATAGTGCAAGCAGAAAGGACGAGCTCGCAAAGGAACCCAAGATAGAAGCTTTGCGGTTCGGTTAATTAGATTGCACAGATCCAGTTCTATCCAACTCGAAATTGTACTGTTTTGTTTGGTTGACTATAGTGTAGCAGGGCAGGCACTATAGGGGTACAATTTAGGTGAAGGTTGGATGTTGTTTGTCTGTATCTGCATGCTACAGGGCCAGGGGAAACCAGCGGAACCAGCATTTGGCTGGTTGGGCAAAGACAAAACAGGTTCTGTTTTTAGAACCTGAACCTGGTTGTTGTTTTCCCAGGTTGGAAAAACAAAACCAGAGGTTGTTTACCAACCTACCACCTGCTATTTTGTCCAGCCAGGTTGGTTCTGTTACTTGGAATTATATGGGATCATCCCTGGTTGTTCCCAGGTTCATTCCCAAGGTCCTTGCTAGCTAGAACTATTTGATCCTTCTCTGTTTCTCTATTTGTAAAAGAATATAGTCAATTGATTCAAGCGAATTCCTTCCTTGCTGGAATTTCGTTTCTGCGCTGTTCGACGGCGGAATGCTACCCAAGTCAACGCTAGTACGCTAGCACTACAACGCTAGGCAAACGCTGTCCGAGCCAGAACTTAGTAATGGCAGAACTTTTCGTGAGGCAACTTGGCTTACGTTAAAGCTCTTGGAGCGAGCTTCAATATAGCGAATTCTCAGCTTAATCCGATCGACGATCTGCACGGCACGCTGCGCGACGTTCAAGATACTCTTGTTATTTTGGCTAAGTCATTCTTAACTCCTCTCTCTACAAACTCGGACCCGAGGATAGGGGCTGGTCTTGTACCAGGCACCCAGGGACCCTTGGAGGTGACCCCGAGGAGAGGTTTTAAGTTTGATTAAGTCTTAATAGCCTGAGTTTATTAGGCCCTTAGCATGGAGGAACCAGTATTGTTTTCTTGCCATACACGGAGAGTAGGGGGTTTGGCAGTGGGAGCAAAGATCTCGTTGAAGTCCTGCTTCTCCTTCTGCATAAACCCCTTAGCCACCAGCCTACTCTTGTAGATGGTGACCTGCCCCTTGTCATCGGTCTTGATCCTCAGCACCCACTTGAATTGGATCGCTTTCGTCCCCTCAGGCAGTACCACCCCATGTTCCATTCTCTAGCAGGCTCTTGTACTCAGCATCCCTAGAAGCCAGCCATTTGTCCCTATCTGGTCCAGCTAGTGCCTCCTCCATGCTAGCTGGTTCCTCTGGCAAGAAAACAATACGCAGGCTCATCCTCCTCATCCGAGTCATAGCCATGAGGTAGAATCAGCATTGCCTCCTCGGTCCCAAGCTGCTGCTCTGCTACACCTGATCCTGCAGTCAGCTTCTTAGTAGCCATACGGATACGTCCTGGCCTGGAGACGGGTGTGTTCCATCCCCTCATAACGACACCCTTCGGCTTCATATTTTTCCCCTGCTGCTGCTCCCCTCCCTCGGATCCAGCAGCTCCAGTAGTGCTGCCGCCAGTTTCCACACCATTTTTTCCACCAGCAGGTGCCTCCTGTACCTTCTCTCCATCACCATTCCCCGCAGCTGCCTCCTCTCCCTCCTCCCACACACTAGGAGTCAGGTCCAGCTACATGGTGATCTGCTCCATCTGCTGGGACACCCTTGCCTCCAGCTGTTTCTCCCAGCTCCCATACATTATGCCCTCAATGAATTTCACATCCCTGCTGTCAAACAACACACCCTTGGATGGTTCCCACAACAGCCATCCCTTGCTCTCAGCAACCAGCCCCAAATGCACACACCAGATTGCACTTGCCCCCAACTTACTGCAGTAGGTCTTGGGGACGTGGGCGATTGCAATACAGCCAAACACCCTCAGCATGTCCACCAGCGGCTTCCTCCCAAGCCACCTTTCCAACGGCACCCACGAGTCATCACCAACCTTGGTGAGTACCCTGTTCCTAGCCACGGTGGCGTGCTGGACAGCGTGAGGCTACATGGAGTTGCCACACCCAGTTTCTATGAGCAGCGCCCTAGCTGTCTCTAGAATAGTCCGGTTCGCCCGTTCTGCTATACCGTGGACTCTGGGGTGTAAGCCATGGTCAGCTCCCTCTGGATGCCCTGCTTCTTGAGCCAGGCCGTCATCTCAGCTCCAAGGAACTCACCACCCCGGTCTGTCCTAATCCGCTTCACTACACACTCCACCTGCTTCTACACGAATGGCAGCCAATCGTCCCGTATCGTGAAGGTAGCATGGTCCTTCTGCTTCAGCGGATATGCCCACATTAGCCTGCTCCAGTCATCCACAATGGTTAGGAAAAACCGCTCCCCCTTGTGCCCTTGCACCGGCAGCGGCCCCACGAAGTCCATGTGGACTAGCTCCAACGGCTTCTTGCTCCTGCCAGCCACACTATGGAAAGGGAAACGAGTGAACTTTGAGAGCAAACAGATTTCACAGTTGTCATCGGGTGGCTGTCCATTCAGCTTCAAACCCTTGACGGCTCCATCCTTCTCCAAACGCTTCAGCAAAGGCAGTCCCACATGCCCGATGCGTCGGTGTGCCGTTACCCAATCTATCTCCCCAGATCTGGCCGACACTTTCACACCAACCCCTCCAACGGCGTTGCACTCCCCCTGGGATGCAGACCCGTCTTCAGCCTGCCCCCCACCGTGCCACGCCAATGCTAGCAGCTGCCACATGGATCTGTACACATCCTTGCTGTCGTGCAGATCCCAGAGCACCCGATTGCCCAGCTGCCCCTTGTACGTGCGAGCCCCATCCGTGCTAGTGCTCACCCCAGCCTTGGCAAGCTTACGGAGGGAGATGAGGTTGGCCTTGAGGTCGGGGACGAGGAGAACGTCGTGCAGCACCACCGGCTTGCCATCCGCTCCCTTAAACGCAGCTCGTCCCGCACCAGCCACCTTCAGCGCGTGTCCTGGTGCAGCGCGTACGTCGTCCAGCAGGTCCTTGCGCGGCGTCATCGTCCAAGCAGCGCCCGTGTCCAACACCCAATAGTCCAGGGGGTGCAGCTCTGCTCCAACCTTGGCAGAGGCGTCTCCTTGCTCCCCTTGCTCTCCAATATGGAAGAACTGGCCCGCGGTGCGCTCCTTCTTCTTCTCCACACCACCGTTGCTCTTCGGGTTGTTGTCGGACGAATCAGCGACCATGTTCGCGCTGTTTTTCTGGTTCCTCCGACCGCCACCATCCTGGTGACGATTCTGGGGGGTCCATCCATCGGGTTTCTTATAGCACAAAAACCAGGGATGCCCTTCCTTCTCACAATACCAGCAACTCCCTTTCATTTTGCCACCAGCACCCGTTTTGCCCCCACGTCCAGATTTCGCACGTCAACCCCAACCGGTACCTCATTGTTGGTCGTTGGAGTCGTCGTCCTTCTTTGCACCACGCCCAGCACCACCGAAGCCACGTCCTCTGCCACGTCGGCTCCCTTGCATCCCGTAGCCGCTGCTGCCATCGTCTCCACCCCTCAGTTGGCGGCGACGGAAGTCTTCCTCCAGAATCTTCGTCCGCACCCACTCGAGCGTCCACGAGCTCTGGTTCTGCGGCAGGCTCAATCCGCTCGTGAATTGAAGCCACGATTCCGGCAGCAGCAAGAGCATCTTTAGGCACTTGGTCTGCTCCGGGTAGGTGATTCCGGCGATCGCCAACTTCGCGTAGAGGTCGCGCATCTTGTCCAGGACTGGCTGTACTGGCTCTCCCTAACTCAATCGCAACACGGACAGCTCCCTCTCCATCATGAGCGTCGCGGCGACGGAGGTAGGAGCGTGCAGCTCCTTCAGCACGGTCCACGCCTTTGTGTTTGTGTAAGGGCCTAATAAAATCAGGCTATTAAGATTTGATCAAACTTAAAACCTCTCCTCGGGGTCACCTCCAAGGGTCCCTGGGTGCCTGGTACGAGACCAGCCCCTATCCTCGGATCCGAGTTTGTAGAGAGAGGAGTTAAGAATGAGTTAGCCAAAATAACGAGAGTACCTTGAACGTCGCGCAGCGTGCCGTGCAGATCGTCGATCGGATAAAGCTGAGAATGTGCTATATCGAAGCTCGCTCCAAGAGCTTAAAAATAAGCCAAGTTGCCTCGCGAAAAGTTCTGCCATTACGAAGTTATGGCTCGGACAGCGTTTGCCTAGCGTGGGAGTGCTAGCACACTAGCGTTGACTCGGGTAGCATTCCGCTGTCGAAGAGCCTCCTTGCTATCACAAAACAGCGGCGTAGCAACTTTTTGCTCCTGGCCAATCTCCTCTAACAGCCTCCTCAACCAAATCACCTCCTTCACCCCATGGAATATTGCCATGTACTCTGATTCTACGGAAGAGAGTGCCGTCTCCGTCTGCTTCTTAGACCTCCAACTACGCAGATGTATCCTCCTACAGATGAGGAATCCTCCTTCTCAGAAGCCCAAGTAGCATCGGTAAAGCAAGTTAGAAAGAGCTTGCCTTCTCCAAGCCTCTCCCCCTTCTCTTTCAGCACCTCCATCCCTTTCTGCTTCACCTGTGCAGATGCGGAGTATTGAACTCCAATGGTTGGGTGAGAGTTCAGATACTTCACCACACGCTCAGCTGTATCCACCTGCTCCTCTGATGGATTCTGCACCACCCTAGCCAGCTGCCCAACCGAGAAAGAGATGTCGGGCCTCGTGTGAACCGCTGCATACAAGAGGCTGCCCACCAAGGACTGAAATTGCTGCTGCTCCTCAGCTTCAACCCCTTCATCCTCTGCAGCCTTCACAAGCTTGAATTCTGCTGGCAGGGGAGTTGCAACCTTGCGCTCATTCTCAATCCCATACTTCTCCCCCAGCTCCTTGATGAACTTCTCCTGGTGCAGCTTCAACCACCTGTGATCAGGATCCCTCTCCACGTGCATCCCGAGGTAGTACTTTACCTCCCCAAGGTTCTTGCACTTGAAGTTTTCCATCAGCTGCTGCTGCACTTTCTGGATCTCCTTCATGCTGCTGCTGAAGAGAAGAATGTCGTCCACATAGACCAGAAACAGCACCAGCTTCTCCCCCTCGCCCTTGAGAAAGAGGCTTTCATCACAGCTGCTGGTCCTGAATCCCATCTCCTCTAAAACAGCAGCCAACTTCTGGTACCAGCAGCCGACGTGGCACCTGCTTCAAGCCGTAGATGGACTTTTTCAGCTTGCACACCCTGCCCGTACCATCCTCATACCCAGGCGGCTGCGTCATGAACACCTCCTCCTCTAAAATCCCGTTGAGGAATGCCGTTGATATATCCATCTGAATGATGAATTTCCCACTAACGACTACATCTGCCAACAAGACACGGAGGGTAGGGGGTTTGGCAGTGGGAGCAAAGATCTCGTTGAAGTCCTGCTTCTCCTTCTGCATAAACCCCTTCGCCACCAGCCTACTCTTGTACCTTCTGCATAAACCTCTTCTGACCCTTTTCATCGGTCTTGATCCTCAGCACCCACTTGCATTGTACCGCTTTCTTCCCCTCGGGCAGCACCACCAGATCCCATGTCCCATTCTCTAGCAGGCTCTGGTACTCAGCATCCCTAGAAGCCAACCACTTGTCCCTATCTGGTCCAGCTAGTGCCTCCTCCATGCTAGCTGGTTCCTCTGGTGCAGGGGCAAGAAAATAATATGCAGGCTCGTCCTCCTCATCCGGGTCATAGCCATGAGGTAGAATCAGCATTGCCTCCTCGGTCCCAAGCTGCTGCTCCACTACACCTGATCCTGCAGTCAGCTTCTTAGTAGCCATACGGGTACGTCCTGGCCTGGAGACGGGTGTCTCCCATCCCCTCATAACGACACCCTTCGGCTTCTTAGTTTTCCCCTGCTGTTGCTCTCCTCCCTCGGATCCAGCAGCTCCACTAGTGCTGCCGCCAGTTTCCACACCATTTTCTCCACCAGCAGATGCCTCCTGTACCTTCTCTCCATCACCATTCGTCGCAGCTGCCTCCTCTCCCTCCTCCCACACACTAGGAGTCAGGTCCAGCTGCATGGTGATCTGCTCCATCTGCTGGGACACCCGGGCCTCCGGCTGTTTCTCCCAGCTCCCATACATCATGCCCTCAATGAATTTCACATCCCTGCTGTCAAACAACACACCCTTGGATGGTTCCCACAGCAGCCATCCCTTGCTCTCAGCAGCCAGCCCCAAATGCACACACCAGATTGCACTTGCCCCCAACTTACTGCGGTAGGTCTTGGGGACGTGGGCGACTGCCATGCAACCGAACACCCTCAGCATGTCCACCGACGGCTTCCTCCCAAGCCACCTCTCTAACGGCACCCACGAGTCATCCCCAACCTTGGTGAGCACCTTGTTCCTAGCGACGGCAGCGTGCTGTACAGCATGAGGCCACATTGCACATACAGCGCCCTAGCTGTCTCCAGAATGGTCCGATTTGCCCGTTCTGCTACACTGTTGGACTGTGGGGTGTAAGCCGTAGTCAGCTCCCTTTGGATGCCCTGCTTCTTGAGCCAGGCCGTCATTTCAGCTCCAAGGAACTCACCACCCTGGTCTGTCCTAATCCGCTTCACTACACACTCTGCCTGCTTCTCCACGAATGGCAGCCAATTGTCCCGTATCGTGGAGGCGGCGTGGTCCTTCTGCTTCAGCGGATACGCCCACATCAGCCTGCTCCAGTCATCCACAATTGTAAGGAAATACCGCTTCTCCTTTTGCCCTTGCACCGGCAGCAGCCCCACCAAGTCCATGTGGACCAGCTCCAATGGCTTCTTGCTCCTGCCAGCCACACTATGGAAAGGGAAACGGGTGAACTTTGAAAGCAGGCAAATTTCACAGTTCTCATCGGGTGGCTGTCCGTTCAGCTTCAAGCCCTTAACGGCTCCATCTTTCTCCAGCTGCTTCAGCAAAGGCATTGCCACATGCCCCAAGCATCGGTGTGCCGTTGCCCACTCCGTCTCTCCAGATCTGGCCGACACTTTTATGCCAACCCCTCCAACGGCGTTGCACTCCCCCTGGGATGCAGACCCCTCTCTAGCCTGCCCCCCACCGTTTTACGCCAACGCCGGCAGCTGCCACATGGATCTGTACATGTCCTTGCTCTCGTGCAGATCCCAAAGCACCCGATTGCCCAGCTGCCCCTTGTACGTGCGAGCCCCATCTGTGCTATTTCTCACCCCAGCCTTGGCAAGCTTACGGAGGGAGATGAGGTTGGCCTTGAGGTCAGGGTGGAGGAGAACGTCGTGCAGCACCACCGGCTTGCCATCCGCTCCCTTCGGCGCAGCTCGTCCTGCACCAGCCACCTTCAGCGCGTGTCCAGAGGCGGAGCACACCTCGTTAATTGGTGCAGCGCGTACGTCGTCCAGCAGGTCCTTGCGCGGCGTCATCGTCCAAGCAGCGCCCGTGTCCAACACCCAATAGTCCAGGGGGTGCAGCTCTGCTCCAACCTTGGCAGAGGCACCCTTGCTCCCCCTGCTCTCCAATATGGAAGAACTGGCCTGCGGTGCGCTCCTTCTTCTTCTCCGCACTGCCGTTGCCCTTCGGGTTGTTGTCGGACGAATCAGCGACCATGCTTGCGCCGTTTTTCTGGTTCTTCCGCGCGCCGCCATTCTGGTGACGATTCTCTTTGTTGGTCGTTGGAGTCGTCGTCCTTCTTTGCACCGTGCCCAGCACCACCGAAGCCACGTCCTCTGCCACGTCGGCTCCCTTGCATCCCATAGCCGCTGCTGCCGTCGTCTCCACCCCTCAGTTGGCGGCGACGGAAGTCCTACAAAATCCACGTCCGCACCCACTCGAGCGTCCACGAGCTCTGGTTCTGCGGCAGGCTCAATCCGCTCGTGAATTGAAGCCACGATTCCGGCAGCAGCGAGAGCATCTTCAGGCACTTGGTCTGCTCCGGGTAGGTGATTCCGGCGATCGCCAGCTTCGCGTAGAGATCACGCATCTTGTCCAGAACAGGTTGTACGGGCTCTCCCTCGCTCAAGCGCAACGCGGACAGCTCCCTCTCCATCATGAGCGTCGCAGCGACGGAGGTAGGGGCGTGCAGCTCCTTCAACACGATCCACGCCTTCAGACAACAATCAACCCCCGGCAGCAGGTGCCTAATGTGTGGATGCTGGTTCAGCTCCAAACTCTGCGACATCAAATAGTAGCCAGCCGAGGCGCGCTCGTCCCAATCTTCCTGCAGGGCGGGGTCACTCGGTCTAGGCTCCTCTCCAATCATTAGTTTCAGCAATCCAATCTGACAGAAACAAAGCTGCATTTTCCAGGCCCAATCATCATTTTCCTCACCACTGAACTTCTTGACAGTGAAGCTTTTCAGCACCTCCTTGATCAGCGAGCCCTGGTTGGTTCGCGCTCCCCTTGGCGCCGAAACACCAGAATCTTGGCTGCCGCTACGAATTTAGGCTGAAGATTCACCAGCTCTCGCCGAGATGTTGCCCGCCATAGCTATTTATAACGAGGATCACTATAACGCAGCTCTGATACCAGCTTGTTGGTGTAAGGGCCTAATAAACTCAGGCTATTAAGACTTAATCAAACTTAAAACCTCTCCTCGGGGTCACCTCCAAGGGTCCCTAGGTGCCTGGTACAAGACCAACCCCTATCCTCGGGTCCAAGTTTGTAGAGAGAGGAGTTAAAAATGATTTGGCCAAAATAACGAGAGTACCTTGAACGTCGCGCAGCGTGCCGTGCAGACCGTCGATCAGATTAAGCTGAGAATTCGCTATATTGAAGCTCGCTCCAAGAGCTTTAAAATAAGCCAAGTTGCCTCGCGAAAAGTTCTGCCATTACGATGTTATGGCTCGGAAAGTGTTTGCTTAACGTTGAAGTGCTAGCATGCTAGCGTTGACTCGGGTAGCATTCCGCCGTCGAATAGCGCAGAAACGAAACTCCAGCGAGGAAGGAATTCGCTTGAATCAATTGACTATGTCCAGGTACAAACAGAGAAGGAATAAATAGTTCTAGCTAGCAAGGACCTTGGAAATCAACCTGGGAAGAACCAGGGATGATCCCAAATAATTCCAAGCAACAGAACCAACCTGACTGGACAAAATAGCAGGTGGTAGGTTGGCAAACAACCTCTCTTAAGTTTCTCCAACCTGGGAAAACAACAACCAGGTTCAGGCTCTAAAAATATAACCTGTTTTGTCTTTGCCCAACCAGCCAAATGCTGGTTCCGCTGGTTTCCCCTGGCCCTGTAGCATGCAGATACAGACAAACAACATCCAACCTTCACCTAAATTGTACCCCTATTGTGCCTGCCCTGCTACACTATAGTCAACCAAGCAAAACAATACAATTTTGAGTTGGATAGAACTGGATCTGCGCAATCAATTTAACCGAACCGCAAAGCTTCTATCTTGGGTTCCTTTGCGAGCTCGTCCTTTCTGCTTGCACTGTTCATAGCACGTACAATGTTGTGCCGAAGCGCACATTGCGCGAGTACCTGCAAATGCATCAAGCGAAAATTGCGAAAGCAAACAAATATACGAACTTTCCATTCACACACAAATGCATTCACACACGCATACTCGTACAAACAGACGGCAGGATGTCGTGCAATATGAATTTGCACCCAACACACTCCCCCTCAGCCTGCCGGCTGCATCCCCATCATTCCATACTAGTTCATGCTCATTCCACTCATGCGCACACAACGCCAATGAGGCTCATCCGCAAGCCGCTCGGTGAGGAAGTCTGCTGGCTGCTGGTGAGTCTTGATGTAGATCGGATTCACCGTCCCCCTCTTCACCTCCTTACGCAGCCAGTGCCACTTGATACGCATGTGTTTGTTCAGCCCATGAAGCACAGCGTTCCTGGCCATCCCAAGAGCCCCCTTGCTGTCACAAAACAGCGGCGTAGCAACCTTCTGCTCCTGCTCTTCTAACAGCCTCCTCAGCCAAATCACCTCATTCACCCCATTGATCATTGCCATGTACTCTGATTCTACGGAAGAGAGTGCCATCTCCGTCTGCTTCTTGGACCTCCAACTAACAGGTCCTCCCCCAACTACGCAGATGTATCCTCCCACAGACGATAATTCCTCCTTCTCAGAAGCCCAAGTAGCATCAGTGAAGCAAGCGAAAAAGATCTTGCCTTCTCCAAGCCTCTCCCCCTTCTCTTTCAGCACCTCAACCCCTTTCTGCTTCACCTGTGCAGATGCGGAGTATTGAACTCTAATGCTTGGGTGAGAGTTCAGATACTTCACCACACGTTCAGCTGCATCCACCTGCTCCTCTGATGGATTTTGCACCACCCTAGCCAGCTGCCCAACCAAGGAATGAAATTGCTGCTGCTCCTCGGGTTCAACCCCTTCATCCTCTGCAGCCTTCACAAGCTTGAATTCTGCTGGCAGGGGAGTTGCAACCTTGCGCTCATTCTCAATCCCATACTTCTCTCCAAGCTCCTTGATGAACTTCTCCTGGTGCAGCTTCAACCACCTGTGATCCAGATCCCTCTCCACGTGCATCCCGAGGTAGTATTTTACCTCCCCAAGGTTCTTGCACTTGAAGTTTTCCATCAGCTGCTGCTGCACTTTTTGGATCTCCTTCATGTTGGGTGCAAATTCATATTGCACGACATCCTGCCGTCTGTTTGTACGAGTATGCGTGTGTGAATGCATTTGGGTGTGAATGGAATGTTCGTGTGTTTGTTTGCTTTCGCGTTTTTTGCTTGATGCATTTGCAGGTACTCGCGCAATGTGTGCTTTGGCACGACATTGTACGCTCTATGAATAGTGCAAGCAGAAAGGACGAGCTCGCAAAGGAACCCAAGATAGAAGCTTTGCGGTTCGGTTAAATTGATTGCGCAGATCCAGTTCTATCCAACTCGAAATTGTACTGTTTTGTTTGGTTGACTATAGTGTAGCAGGGCAGGCACTATAGGGGTACAATTTAGGTGAAGGTTGGATGTTGTTTGTCTGTATCTGCATGCTACAGGGCCAGGGGAAACCAGCGGAACCAGCATTTGGCTGGTTGGGCAAAGACAAAACAGGTTCTGTTTTTAGAACCTGAACCTGGTTGTTGTTTTCCCAGGTTGGAAAAACAAAACCAGAGGTTGTTTACCAACCTACCACCTGCTGTTTTGTCCAGCCAGGTTGGTTCTGTTACTTGGAATTATTTGGGATCATCCTTGGTTGTTCCCAGGTTGATTCCCAAGGTCATTGCTAGCTAGAACTATTTGTTCTTTCTCTATTTGTAAAAGAATATAGTCAATTGATTCAAGCGAATTCCTTCCTTGCTGGAATTTCGTTTCTGCGCTGTTCGACGGCGGAATGCTACCCAAGTCAACGCTAGTACGCTAGCACTACAACGCTAGGCAAACGCTCAAGCCACAACTTAGCAATGGCAGAACTTTTCGTGAGGCAACTTGGCTTACGTTAAAGCTCTTGGAGCGAGCTTCAATATAGCGAATTCTCAGCTTAATCCGATCGACGATCTGCACGGCACGCTGCGCGACATTCAAGGTACTCTTGTTATTTTGGCTAAGTCATTCTTAACTCCTCTCTCTACAAACTCGGACCCGAGGATAGGGGCTGGTCTTGTACCAGGCACCCAGGGACCCTTGGAGGTGACCCCGAGGAGAGGTTTTAAGTTTGATTAAGTCTTAATAGCCTGAGTTTATTAGGCCCTTAGCATGGAGGAACCAGTATTGTTTTCTTGCCATACACGGAGAGTAGGGGGTTTGGCAGTGGGAGCAAAGATCTCGTTGAAGTCCTGCTTCTCCTTCTGCATAAACCCCTTAGCCACCAGCCTACTCTTGTAGATGGTGACCTGCCCCTTGTCATCGGTCTTGATCCTCAGCACCCACTTGCATTGTATCGCTTTCGTCCCCTCAGGCAGTACCACCCCATGTTCCATTCTCTAGCAGGCTCTTGTACTCAGCATCCCTAGAAGCCAGCCATTTGTCCCTATCTGGTCCAGCTAGTGCCTCCTCCATGCTAGCTGGTTCCTCTGGCAAGAAAACAATACGCAGGCTCATCCTCCTCATCCGAGTCATAGCCATGAGGTAGAATCAGCATTGCCTCCTCGGTCCCAAGCTGCTGCTCCGCTACACCTGATCCTGCAGTCAGCTTCTTAGTAGCCATACGGATACGTCCTGGCCTGGAGACGGGTGTGTTCCATCCCCTCATAACGACACCCTTCGGCTTCTTAGTTTTCCCCTGCTGCTGCTCTCCTCCCTCGGATCCAGCAGCTCCAGTAGTGCTGCCGCCAGTTTCCACACCATTTTCTCCACCAGCAGGTGCCTCCTGTACCTTCTCTCCATCACCATTCCCTGCAGCTGCCTCCTCTCCCTCCTCCCACACACTAGGAGTCAGGTCCAGCTACATGGTGATCTGCTCCATCTGCTGGGACACCCTTGCCTCCAGCTGTTTCTCCCAGCT